TTTTAGAGCTACCTATAGCAAGTTTTTTGTCTCTGTAAAGCTATGTTGCAATCAGTTATAGGTACAACAAAATCAACTATTTTTGGTACACTTTAGCTCTTGTAACAAACTCATACTTCATAGATTCTAACTCTAACCTGTATAATTACTTTGAAAAGTGTAATGTCTTTCATATGATTATAATGGTTTCCAGTTTTACTTTAGCATGTTTTGAGAAAAGGGAGAATAATGACATAAATGGTATTTTTAGATGGAAAATGTGCCGTATCATTAAAATTATAAAGTTTTTGGTACAATAGATAACAGTAGTGTTGAGAGGAAACATTAGGCTTCTTGATGCATAAGTTTCACTAACATGAGAACAGTCTTTCGCCAGATATTGCTCCTAAAAGAAGGAAAAGTAGCATGAAAATGGTGACAAAATCCCAACCCGCCTCAGTTTGCTTAGTAACAATACAAATGAATGGAGGTTGGGCTACGCCCACGCACCCGTTTCCAATCCCTTTCATTTACTCTATATCTATGGGTGGGCCTGTGCCCGACCAACTCAGCAGACCAAAAAATTTTTTTCTTTTGTATACTTTAGTCCTTTTAAAAATATTGCTCACTTTATTATGATAGCAATGAGACAAGACTAGTATAGCTAATAGTTTTAGCCAGTGTAAATATAATGATGACATGGTAGAGGCTTCCATAGCTCCATTTGGGCAATTGGGCTGCCATTTTTTAAATAATAACTACTACTAACCAATCAGTTATTAGACTATTCACATTAATTATTAAAGTAATCGAGTTGAAAATGGCTAAGAAACTCTGCTGAGTCTGTTTGAATGTCTTCCCAAGGCCAGTACTACTACTAATGAAGAAAATATAAGCACTGAAGTGCACATCTTAGCTTAATTAAAGTAATAATCGTAGTATTTAATTGACCACGCCCATCATGAATATTAATTAGCTCTAAAATAATTTCGCGGCGCGCTTCGCGCGCCGCATATTTTTTCTCTGTGCCCACCCAACTCTCAGAACTTAGATACGCCCCTGGCTGGTATAGTTGTAACTTTTACTTTGCTGTGATTAAAAATTAATTATACTACTAATTACCGTGTAGTCTTGCCCCATCCATGCCGCCAAATCTTCAAATATTAATTATAATTAATATTTGAATTAATTAGAATTTTAAGTCAGAATCAACTCAAACTTTCTACACAGCATAAGTACATCAATATGTATCGTAAATTGTAATAAAAAATTGGGGTAATTTTTGAGCCATTTTTTGAAAAAAACCATGGGCTATAGTCTTGGGTATTTTTCAGGATTTCGGCATTTTCTTAAAATGGCTGTAACTTTAAAATTTGATGTCGGAATCAACTCAAACTTTCTACACAGCATAAGTACATCAATATGTATCGTAAAATGTAATTAAAATTTAGGGTAATTTTTTGAGTCATTTTTTGAAAAAACCATGGGCTATATATAGTCTTGGGTATTTTTTAGAATTTTGGCATATTCTTAAAATGGCCGTAACTTTAGAATTTGAAGTTGGAATCAACTCAAACTTTCTACACAGCATAAGTATATCAATGTGTATCAGAAAATGTAAGGTGATTTTGGAGCCATTTTTTGAAAAAAAAACCATGGGCTATAGCCTTGAATATTTTTCAAAATTTGGCCTGTTTTTAAAAATGGCCATAACTTGAAAATTTTTTACTGGAATCAACTCAAACTTTTTGCACAGCATATGGACATCAATATGTATCAGAAAATGTAATAAAAATTTGGGGTGATTTCAGAGCCATTTTTTGGAAAAACCATGGACTATATATATAGCTTTGGGTATTTTTCAGAATTTTGGGTCGTAACTCTAAAAATTGAAGTCTGAATCAGCTCAAACTTTCTACACAGCATAAGGACATCAATATGTATCAGAAAATGTAAAAAAAATTTGGGGCAATTTTGGAGCCATTGTTCAGAAATATCATGGGCTATATAGCTTTGGGTATTTTTCAGAATTTTGGGCCATAACTTTAAAAAATTAAGTCAGAATCACCTTAAACTTTCTACACAGCTTAAGGACATCAATATGTATCAGAAAATGTAATAAAAGTTTGGCGTGATTTTGAGCCATTTATGGGCTATAGCCTTGGGTATTTATTCTAAAGAGACTACTCAGTTGTCTTATTACAAGCTGTTGCATGAGCGCATATTTACTTGAAGTCACATTCTTCATACTCCAGTATACTTATTTGGGCAAAGCCCACTAAGATGAGTAGAGTTTGTTTGTCTTTAAAGTCAGTGTAGCAAGGTTTAAAGTAAAAAACAAGTCAGGAGTTTTCTAGCAGCAACATAAGGTAGAGATTCTGCTTTTTTACAGCTAGTAATCTACAAGGCTAAACCCTTTAATGTTTTACATTGTTTCTAGTATTATATGTGTTCGTGTACATGTACATGTACATACATGTTAAATTGCTCCTTTTATTGTATAAGGGATATGAACACAGTCAAAAATAATAATTAAGTCCAAAATCATCATTCATTATGTTGATAGGTAGCATCAGTTGATTGGTGTAAAGGTCCTGATAGAGGTTTGCCCTGTCCTGATGTTATATTCTACTTTCATCTCTCATCAGAGGAGGGACTCAAGAGATCAGGATATGGAGAAGAGAGATACGAGAAGAAGTCATTCCAAGAGGTCAGTCAATGATAAAGTATTTCTTCATAGCAGGGATATACATGTAGATGCATATATGTACCGTGTTGCTAGTAATTTTGTGGTGACAAATCTAGCTGATAGCTTTTTACCAAATTAAAACCTGTCATTTTGAATCTTTATTCATATGCTTAATTGTATGTACATTTTCATGCTAAACTAATACCTGCCTATCACCAAAAACTTAGCAATTTGCCAAAATATTCCATTTGATCAGTTTTTGCCTAAAATTTGGATTTGCATGTAGTTCAATCAAATTTTTGAGCCAATGGATCATTAAAATTCATGACGTCAAATTTTTGTTACATTTACTACTATAGGAGCGTATAGTTTTGACTATAATATTATTTTGAAGCATAATTATTTGTAACTTTAGTAATTTCTTAATAATCTACCTTTGATTGGAAAAAGTATAACTGTGGGTAATTATAATTTACCTTTTAAAGCTTGCTTTATGCTAGAGTTGAAATAAATTCACCTCCAGCTTCAATGGAATATTGTAATACTTCCTTAATTAATTCTTAATAGGAGGTTGCTAGAGTCTATGAGAAACTATAAGAGATTGTAGTTGGTTTGATGTAGATGCTTCTAATTCAATTGATGCAATACATAAACAACTCTGGGACAAAACATCAAGTCTCCTCAGTACTATCAATAATAAAGAAATAGGAAAACTCTGGACACAATAGATTAATATTTTAGATATTTAATTTATTCTATAAAATTTAGCAATTTTGTCATTGTGTGTTTTTATTGGCAGCCATCTGTCATTGAGTATGCATGCTCAAGAAAATGTCGGGTTTTCAAAGTTCCTAATCAAATTCATTTCTAATTGTTGACTTATACATTCACAACTGAGAGTAGCCTTTTGGGCAAATGGGGGCATCTTCCTCTTTTCCATTATGATTATGAATAAGTCTTTTTATTAAACTACTGTGTGCATGTTCACATACAGTACTATAGTGATATAATTATACTAATAAAAAAGATATAGAGTGGGAAAGAGTCCGAGTGAGAGAGCTCAGCCATTGTCTTAGTGCAGCCATTTTCTTGGTACCAGTATGAGACATGTACTTTTAACCACAGAGAGAGTGACAAACAACTCTGCTGGGAATTCACTAGGGCTGGGTCATATGTCCAACAGGTGTAAACTTCACAGAGAGTTTTTATAAGTAACCAAAGTGTAATAATAAATGGTCAGAGCCCAAATATTAATACATTATTATGTTGATTGGCAATGGAACAGGGAATGTTTTAAGTTATTGCAGGTGCACACAGTGCTGGCCAAAGTAGGGGAATGCCTACAGACATGTAGTCTATTCTAGTTAACTACACAAAAGTGGCAAACAACTTCTTGAGCAACTGGGGCTTGGTTTCCTGTGGAAACCTTCACAGAAAGTTTTTATAAGCAACTGAGGGGCTATTATGATTTATTCATTGTATAGTAGCTACATATGCATGAATCCTGATGCAAATAAATTATATGCCTGATCCAAAGGACAATTATTTATTGCATTTTTAAATGACCTTTGCATGCCTTTAATGAGGGACTGTTAAATTTATTTGTAATGTCAGACAATATATAATTATGCCATAATTATTGTGCTGCATGTGATGATATTTAAGGTGGGCATCCATGCACTATGCAACTTTGTTGCCAGTACCTTTGATGTGGTTGTGCAACATGTTGCATGAAGTTGAGACTCTCTCTACTTCATGCAACATGTTGCCCAACCACATCAAAGGTTTGACCACAAGTTGCAAGTAACAATGTTGCATAGTAGATGCCCACCTTTAGAGATCTGGGATGCTCATTTCTGAGTCTTTATATCATAGTCATGCAACATAGACAGCCTATTTAATCTGTAACATTTCTCCTGCTATAATTCAATCATGCATGCAATACTGACTTCATCATCCTTCTATATTATCATGCACTATTAAAAAGTTCCCGCCCACGCAGTGCTCAGACTATATTTGCGATAATGATACAGATTGCCTGGCCATGCTACTAGCTATTGTGCAGCCATGCCTGAAGTAAGATGCAATAATTGTGGTGGCCATGTATCTGGCAGAAATGGATGGTTTCAAAAAACAAGCTGGATAGATAAATGTAATGATTGTCAGGCAAAAGAATATGAAGAGCAGCGGAGGATTAATGAGGCAAACATTCAGCAGAGGAGGGATGAATTACAAGCTCAAATGGAAAGACATAGAAAAGAAATGGAGTTGGAGAGGGAAAAGGCTCAAAATGAGAGGGAACGGAAGCGACTCGAAATTGAATCAGCAGAAAAGTTAAAAGAGTTGCAGTTGAGAGCTGATCAGGAAATAGAAAAGATGAAAACTGAAGTAAGGCTAGCAGAGGAAGAAAGTAAGAAAATTATAGAAATGAAAAGGATAGAAACTGAGCGCATAATCAAGGAGAATGAATTAGAAACTCAAAAAGAAATAGAAGAAATAAAGTTAAAAGAAGAGAGTGAGCAGAATCGATTGCAGCGTATAGCTGATAGTGAAATGCAAGAAAAGCAATTGAAATCGGAAGAAGAAAGGCAGGAAAAAGAGCTGATAAATACCAAAGCAATAGAAGACCATCGCACCAACACTGTGGCAGCAACAAAAAAGCATATTGCAGATAAGCAGCATCAGACAGCAGTAGAAGTAACACAGATAAAAGCAAAAACAGCATTAGAAGTAACACAGATAAAAGCAAAAACAATCAGTGAAATGGAGAAAGATAGAATGAAAGCTGTTGAAAGTGCAGAAAAAAGCAGGAATGAGCTTATATTCCAAATACTCACTAGTGGTGCCAAGGTAGATCCAGCAATGTTACAAATGATGGGTGTCAAGATGCTAGATTCATCTGTTTATGAATCTGCAGCTCCAGAATCAATGGCTAGCTTTAACACAACTGCAATTGAATCAGACCCTGATGGTAAAAAGGAAGAAAAGGAGGAAGCAGAGAGTGATGACAAAGAAACAAAGAGTATCATGGCAGTTGCTGCTGATGAAAATAAAGCAATCAACTAACAATGACCAATTTTGACCATTGATATGATTTTGCATTGTTTATCTGCTATTAACATTATTAATTAAGCTGTTGAGTTTTGCATTGTAATAATATACTAATTTAACAATAATTACTGTAACAATAATTTATTATTGTTTAATTATACAGTAGGTCCGCTATTATTTTCTGTATAAACTATCTTGAAAATCTTTCTTTATTTTCAATACATCCTCATGTGTCTTCTCTCGTGCAGCTTTTCTATACGATTTCACATCTTCCTCGGCTTTCTTCCTATTCTCTTCCATTTCCATATACATTTGAATCTTTTTGTCATCATAATTCATTGCGTTAAGTATAGCCTGATCTTCTAATTTCTCTTCTAGCTCAGATTGTAGTCTTCTATCTTCTTCTTCTATTTCATGTCTTTTCCACGACAGTAATTCCTTTTGGGACTTTTCCATTGCTTCAATTTCTTCTGTAGCCAACTTGCTTTTTTGCTTCCAGACCTGAAATTCTTCTGCTTTTTGCTTTTCAATCAATTCTTTCTCTCTCACCTCTTGCTCATGTTGATTTTTAATTAAGCCTAATCTCCGCGCCGAATCTTCTCTACTCTTTTTGAGCTCTGTTTCTGAATCTTCCGATACCTTCCTCAGAAATTCATCTTTTTCTGCTTGCATTTTAGCTAAATCAGCTTTGTACTTAGCTTCCATTTCTTTCATAGCCCGTTCCATTTCAGCGTCAGGATCAAATTCCTGCTGCTGCGGCTGCCGCCGTGGAGGCCGCCGTTGTATTTTTTCCTCAGAGACGGGTGATTTGTTATAATAGCCTTGTTCACTGTATTTGCTATATCCTTCGTCTTTGTAGTAGCAATAGTCTTTCTGATCCCCTCTTTTGGTGTTTAGGACTGGATTTTCTCTTAGCGGCCGGCCTCGATTGCGAGAGCCGCCACCACCACCATCCTGAACTCCGCCGACACCATACCCAGGCTCATCATACCTATGCTCATACTCTTTGTCTCTTTGGGACCTTTGAGAGTCCCTATTGGTTTTTGGCTTGCTAGATCTACCAAAGGCGGACCACATTAAGATGTCAAATGTAAGCTCTGATGCAAATTACAAATAGACTATAATTTTTAATCAACTGCTGCGTACCAGTTATACGTTACTCGTGTAGTATCACGTGACGTGGTTCAGGACCAATTATCACGTGATTGTTTTGCAAAACCTGAAGGAAGATTTTGATGCTCGAAGTTAGTATATAGATCTATATGTGAATATCAAAATTTACTGCAGATCAGCACTAGCATGGCCACATCATCAGTTCATAGTGTGCAAGATCTAACTGAATTTTTTGAAGAACTAAAAGTTGAGGGTCGGCAAGCAAAATATGTATCAAATTCAGAAAAACAATCTGAACTTAGGAAACTCAAAGCAGAAATAGACATAAACACTATTAAGTGTAGTATTACGAAACAGCAGGGAAGACTGGGAGAGGAACTCAAGGAACAAAAACTCCAGAAACAGCATGACTTGCAGCATCATGTGAGGATTTCTTGCTACTTTCAGCAATTATTAAGTGAATGGAAGAAGAAAGAAGAATATGCAGACAATTTGACTGCCACAAATATAGTGAAGAGTAAGTTGCTGACACAAGAGAGCAGAGAAGAAACAAATGACGAAATATTTGAAGATGTAGTTTCAGACTTAGACGACATAAAGAAGTATGAAGCCAGCAAGAAACTTCATACTATGAAGAAAGCAGTGAAATTGATAACAAATGCAATAAAAGAACAAGAAAAAGTAAAAAACAAAGTTGTAGAGGTAAGGACAGCATTGCATACGACATTAATTGTCACTCGACTTCAAGAGCATAAAAGCCTTGATGGGCTGCAGCATTTGATAAGCATATTACCAGCTGATTCAATGTATTATAATCAAGAAGCAACTAAAGCAATAGATCAGATTCATAAGCATGCAAGAATGCAAGCAATAACAACAGGAAATACTGAAGCCATACCACCTGTGAAAGGTGCTGAATCATCGTCTGATGATCCCTGGGAAAGAAAAATTCAAATTGATAAGGAGTGTGATGAATCTTTTGAGTCAGCTAAAAATCAAGTAGCCGAAGCAAAGAAATTGACGTCAGGAACAAAAAAAGAAATTAAAGGTGTTGCCTTAATGCAAAAAGTTGCCGACAATATTCAGGGTGACTTTCAACCTGAAGTAATTGCTTTGCTGAATGAGGAACTGACTCCAAAGAATTCATCTTCATTGTCGGAAGAATCTTACAAAAGAATGTATTAAAAATAACTATTAATTTGCTATTATACTGTAGATTTATGAATTACACATAAGTCATATTTATCAGCAAAAAAACATGAATCTGCAGCATATGCATTATCTACAATGTACACAGTCCGTGGTTTCCCTTCATGACTATAATACTTCAACAATATCAAATAGAAAGTTTTTAACAACTACATGTAATGATATATACTGTTCATAATAATGATAAAGAGAAAAGGAGAGAGGGAGAGAGAGAGAAGAGTTAGTACTGTTCCCCTTCTTGTAGTTGATAAGTGGCATTGAGGAGTTTCACTAGGAATCTAGGCAGCATGTAGTCTGGAAAGAAAAACGAGTTTTTCAGTTGATTCCCTTCATCGATGCTCTTTGACGGATTAATAGGAGTGTAGGTGTATTCCCAGTTATCACGACTTAGTGTGATCTTAAACTCATGACCTGTGTGAGGGAGGGGGAGATAATAATTCTAATAATTCTAATAATAATTAATTAGAGGGGTTTACCCATTAATGCCCCATCATCAAGACTGCAGAGGTAAGTGGTTGATAGGTCGTTTGATTCAGTGCACTCCACACTGAGACAAGTTATTGACTCAAAAAATTCATATTCTTGATTCCTCTTTGGCATATCCTTCTGAACCTAATGTAACAAAAATCAAAATAATATGAGAATCATTCAATTACAAAATAAAACTGGTCATTCTTTAGTATCGGGGTTGCTTTAATAGAATTTTAATTTGGATGTACATGTACATGTATGTACATACCTACAAAATTAACATCACATACCATATAGCGGGTATATTCCGTCTGAGTTTAATTTCGTTCTTTTCATTTTCATTCCTTGTGGAACAAACATTTTCCAAACAAAAAGGGTGTTTCCTCAATGCCACGTGTGCAAAATGGCTGCTCAGAATGAAAATAAAACGAACGAAAATTTCTAATCCTGCTTAGAACGAACATTTTTCCAGACTAAATATACCCGCTATACGGTACATGTACATGTACATAACCAATATACTGCACATGCATTTGCAATGAAGCAACTTTCTAATGTGCAGAATAAAATCCATAAAAAGGCTATTACCAAAAAAACTTGATGACCACAAAAATTTATTAAATTTAAAATTTATTTCTTACTTGTCTCCTCTTCCTAACTGAAGATAACATGTTCTCGTTATCAGATCCGCCATTTTCATCAGATGACAGTGAAATTGGTAGTGAGGTAGCCACATATGCTCCTTCTTTTCTCTTATCTGGTTCATCAACACTGCCTACGCTCACAATACTGGGGGAAGCTTGTGCTTTGAGTTTATCTTCTAAAGTTTTTATTTTCTCTTGACTTCGTTGGAGCTGAGATCTAAGCTCTGAAATTAACTTCTGACTAGCTAATAAAAATAATATAATAATAATAATAAATAAATAAATAATGATAATAATAGAAAAATACATGTAATTGTGACTACGACTGTAAGTATGAATTCCAATGTACATGTACATGTACATGTATAAGTACATGTACATGTATATGTACATGTACATGTATATGTACATATTGACGATGACCTTATGCTATGTAAAAATTTGAGCTATTTTTGTCAAATATTTTTTAACTTATAAACATTTTAAAATGAGCCAATAGCCCATGGTTTTTCTGAAAAATTGCTCCAAAATCTCCCCAAATTTAATTACATTTTCTGATACATATTGATGTACTTGTGCTGTGTAGAAAGTTTGAGTTGAATCTGACTTCAAATTTTCAAGTTATGACCATTTTAAGGAAATGTCACAAAATTTGTGGCAAGCAAAAAAACCCATTAGTTCCAAAATCTGGGACAATTTTTAGAGCGAATTAAAAAAATTTTTTTAAATCCAGTTTTGATTGGAATCAGCTCAAACTTTTTACACAACATAAGAACATGTATATGCATCAGAAAATATTATAAAATGGAGATTTCTCTCTTTTTCATTTTTTGGCAAAATTCGACCAGTGATCATGTACATGTACTACAATACATGGTTTAAAAAAAAATGCTTCAAAATCACCCCCCATTTTTATTACATTTTCTAATACATGATGATGTCCTTATGCTGTGTAGAAAGTTTGAGTTGATTCCTATAAGAAATTTTCGAGTTACGGCCATTTTTAAAAACAGGCCAAATTTTAAAAAATACCCAAGGCTATAGCCCATGGTTTTTTCCGAAAAATGGCTCCAAAATCACCCTCCATTTTTATTACATTTTCTGATGCATATTGATGTACTTATGCTGTGTAGAAAGTTTGAGCTAATTTCAACTTCAATTTTTCAAGTTACGACCATTTTAATAAAATGCCAAAATTCTGAAAAATACCCAAGGCTATAGCCCATGGATTTTTCCAAAAAATGGTTCCGAAATCACCCCCAATTTTTATTATATTTTCCGATGCATATTGATATTCTTATGCTATGCAGAAACTTTGAGCTGTTTCCGACAAATAATTTTGGAGTTATGAGCATTTTAAAAACAACCCAAATTTAAAAACAACCCAATGCTTTGCTATATATAACCCATTGTTTTTCCGAACCTGTTTCCCAATTTTAGAACTGCTTATAAAAATTTGCTGAAAAGAAGCTGGACACTATACCAATATCCAGTGGGAAACCCTGCAACTAAGTTTACACCTCTAAATACAACCATAATGATACAACCAAAAGTCAAAATAGCCTCGGTTACAATTACAACTACATTAAACTCGATAAAAGTAAATTGATCATCATTTACCTTCAGCATTCTCTTCAGCTGCCCGCTGGGCTACTAGTGTCGACTCCTCGAGCTCCTTGATAGTCTTATTGAGGAGGTTTTGGTGTTTCTTTTTCCAAGAAGCTCCATCCATTTTTGAATTTTACAAACCAAGTATACGGAGGAGGTGTGTCACTCCGTATACGATTCCGTACACGAGAAAAACATGGCGTCCGACGAGGAGGACAATGTCGATGAGGATTCTCTATTTCTCGAGGAGCCACCGGAAGACCTACGCTGTCCTATATGCCTACACATCATGAGGGATCCCTTCCAGACTTCCTGCGGTCACAGGTTCTGTCTGGAGTGTATAAAAGCCGTCAAAGCCACCTCAAACCCAGTCTGTCCCATTGACCGAATTCCAGTGGACGCTGGGGGCGGGGTCTTTCAAGATAATGCCGCTCGAATGCAAATACGACGACTCAAGATATCGTGTCCTCACAAATCAAAGGGGTGTCGCTGGACGGGGGATTTAGCCGATAAACTAAGTCACCTCAAACTATGCCCACACTCGATTAGGGAGTGTCCATATTGTGCGACGCCCACTCAAGTTTCGCTGATGACTAATCACTTGGAGGTGTGTCCTCACCGACCCGTTACATGTCAGTATTGTAATAGTACATGTTCGTGTGATAAATTGGATGAGCATTATAAGGAATGTCCACGAAAGCCCGTACCGTGTCCAAACGGTTGCCCTCAAACTTCCATTCCAAGGAATGACGTTAAGACTCATTGTGAGTTGGATTGTCCTCGTCAACCTGTTGCCTGTCCCCTTGAGCGGTTTAGCTGTAAGGGCGGGGTCCCTCGCGAAGAACTCTCCAATCATATAAAGACGTGCGCTTTGGAACGCATCTCGAAATTATCGCTACTGGTTCTGGAACAGTCAGACGAGATTAAGGAACTGCGAGAAAAAGTCAAGGAACAAGGCGAAGCTATAGCCTCCCTCCAATCAACTAGCTATCCCTCAAGCCCTCAGTTCACATGGAGAATTGAAGGTATTAGAGACAAGATAATATCATCATCATCATCGCCAAATAGCTCTCATATCTTACCTACATACAGCCCTCCATTCTTCACTGGTGAGGGCGGCTATAAACTTAGTCTTTGCATATATCCAGCCGGTGACAATAATCAAGGCTTCCTTTCCCTTTACCTCGTTGTAATGAGAGGCCCTTTTGACGACATTCTCCCTTGGCCCTTTCAAATGAGAGTCTGTCTATTTCTAGTTAATACCAGAGGAGGTCACAACATTATGAAAGACATAAGACCGGACCCTAGACTCCATTATTTTAAGAAACCTACCGAGCCTCGTAATGTCGGTTTTGGCTACCCTAAATTTATTCCTACCTCGTCCTTGCTTGGGAGTGATAGTGATTTTGTTTCCAATGGAGCTATGTTCATTAGAGTAATCACTGCAACTCAATGATACCACATCTCCCCCTCCATTAGTAGTGTATTAGTAGTAATTTTGTATGATGCTTGCTTTAAATTTATTATTTTTAAAAATAATCAATCTATTATTATCATTATTATTATGTAGCCTAGTGGAATCATGTCTCTCAAATACATGCACTTTATCATTAAGTTGTTGTTAATTTTTGTGACAATTGTTATCATTTGGTTCTTTCCAGCTTAAGATTTAATTAGTAGAGGCAGACAGTGAGAAAGGCAGGGCGTCACGTGCTCTTGTTTGCATTGCAATTGCTTAAATTTGCTTTTTGCAGAGTTTTGGCAGGGCCCTTATAATGGCTATGGCGTCTAAAAGTAAGTCCTATTCTAAGTGATCTTGTACTGTCAGTCATTGCTATAGATCAACTGAATGGGAGAGCTGATCACCGCACTGTATCAGTAGGTGATTCACTGTATGTGTGGGCTGGTCTTCAGGGTGGCTCACCTCGAGTACATCACAGTGTAGAGAAGAGAAGGATCACTAGTAATATACAGCTCTTTACTCCTTCTACTGGCCAATGGATCACTAGAGGTACTACTGGTACTCCTCCATTAGGAGTGAGAGCATACTGCTGTACTGCAATAAATGATCAATTGTATTATTTCGGGGGAAATTGTGGTCATGACAACTGCTATCACAACAGTATTTCACAACTGGACACTGTTCGTCTTCAATGGAGAGAATTAGAACCAACTGATGCAACTAGACCAGTTATGAGGAGAGGTTATGGTGGAATGATATCATTTGAACATGATGGAGTACACCATTTACTAATGATAGGAGGAAGGGGAGCTAAACCAGCTGTACAACTACCTCATTATAAATATGTCAAGAGACCTAATGGAAACTGGCGTACTAATGAACACTCAATGTATAATCTATCATCAAGTAAGATTTTATTGTATTTTGAAATTATTTTGCCTAAATAATCCAAAAATTATTTATGTTAATAATATTTTTAGGAATATGGACTAATCCTTCAATCATTGGCCAGCATATACCACCAGTTAGTGCCTTTATCATTGAAAAGATTGACAACAATAGAGCTGTTCTCTTTGGTGGACTAGTAAATGATGATGATACTACTAACAATATTTATATATTAGAGATATCAATCAGCACTGCAGTATGTTGAATGTATTGAACACTCAGTGGTTATTTTATTTATTAGCTCTGGCAGTGTATAAAGAAACCTGAAGCAATAGACCAATGGCCAGTGGGTAGATACCTTCATGCAGGTGCTATTATAACTGAATTAGACTGGCCTATGCTAGTGATAAGTGGTGGGTCAAATAAAAATGATGATACATTAGATGATTGTTGGATCTTTAACGTCACTCGGCATTCCTGGATAAAGGTATTACCAGTGAGGGATAATTTAGAAAAATTTGCCAAAATTAATTTCAATTTTGATGAATTATACAGTCACATGCTCATTGACACATGGCTTCAAATTAAAACCCACCAATCACCAAAAATTATTAAAGTATTTACCAAAATGATGGTATGTACAGTGAGATACTGTACAAGATAATTTATTGGTGAGAGTAATATTTGGCCAATTTGCCTATAGAAAGTTAACTTGCAAATTAATGTCAATTTTTTGCTACGTTCCATTGAGCATGCTCAGATTGAAACAAAAATAGTGAATTTTATATTGGCAATTTTTGCATTGAACCGGCAATTGGCAATATTGATTCCTCACCAATGAATGATCATGAGGATAGAGCACATTATTTATTACTTTATTTCTATTAACAGTTGGATGTACCTCACTCTGTTAGTAAGAGATTTATCCATTCTCTCTCAGTGTTCCTTGTAAGTCCTCGTTGTGTCTGGATAATAACTGTTGGAGGAGCTGTTGATAATAGATCTGTCACTAATCCTAATATTGCTATGCTAACTGAAATAGGTCAGTGCATGACTATGGAGCATACAATTATTTAAGACTTTGTTTCTTGTATCATTATAATAAGTATAGTATATTTATTGTGTAACAAATGGAGCATACCAACATGTCCATACTTCTGTTATTTGTATTAATAACCTTTTTCTTGCATGTACATTGTGTATATCCTATACCACATGACATAGCTTAATTGATTGATATTTGTGACCATCCAATTTTTGCTGTGTATTTCCTATACTTTTGACTTAGCTACCTAATATTAAATCTAGTGTTAATATTGCTTGAATTATTTCACTATGTAAGTACTTTTTCTTTTATAACTTATCATTAGTTCTCAACAGTAAAGGAGATTGGACAGTAGGTGATACATTAGGTACCAATTTTATGAATAATGAAGAATACAAGAAGAAGTATCAGCGGCGACTGCAGACAGGAAGAAGAATATGGTTGGAGGAGTACCAAAAATTAAGAAAAAGAAATATAATTGATATTGAGCAAACGATACAAGCTCTTATGAAAAGTCTTGAGAGAGAAACAGTAATTTTCAGTCGCGAAATGGAGCAAAAGGAAAAAGAAGAAGCAGAGAAAGATCGAAAAATAAGACGATATCGTCATCGGCTACAAGAGAAGGATAGGGAGCATCAAGTGGTGCTACAGGAGAAAGTTAGGGACCTACGACAGAAGGATAGGGAGCTACGTCAGTCTCAAGAGGCAGTTCGTAGGTACAAACAAGCACTTACTGATGATCACTGGGTTATTAATAAAGACGAAGTGACTTTGACAAAGGAGAAATTAGGAAGTGGATCTTATGCTGTCGTTACAGTTGGTATCTTTAGAGGTTTAAGAGTAGCTGTCAAGTCACTTCATAAAATCATCATTTCGGATTATAATTTAGCTCTCTTCTCCAGGGAAATGAGTATAGCATCACAAGTACGTCATCCTAACCTGGTCCAGTTTATTGGTGCAACTAAAGTTGGTAGTCCTCTCATTTTGACTGAGCTGATGAGCACTAGTCTTAATCATGAGCTTTGCAGAAAACGATTAACCAATCAACAGATTCTGAGTATTGCTCAAGATGTAGCTTTAGGCCTCAACTACCTTCACCTGTTTAAGCCTCAGCCTATTATTCACAGAGATGTCAGCAGTCCTAACATATTATTAAAGCCTTGCACTGGACCTGCTGGTTATGAAGCCAAAGTAGCAGATTATGGTACAGCTAAATTGCAACAAGGCACTAGTACTGGTACTGTTATGCCAGGCAATGCTGCATATGCTGCACCAGAAGCTCGTGATCCTGAGCTACACAGTCCAGCAATGGATGTCTACAGTTACTCTGTTCTCCTTATGGAAATGAATTTATGTTGTCCACCTGAAATAACGCTTGCAGAGAGAACACGACAATCTGGTAGTGTCTCCTGGTCTGATATGAAGTCTCTCATACAAAGAGGACTTAATGCTGATCCTAGAGCTCGTCCTACTATGGCTCAAGTAGTAGAGTCATTGAAACAGATAAATGTTTAATGCATTAACTTTATTGCCTTTTAAGATTACTGCTATCTATTCTTGGTTAAGCTTTAGGTAGTTTAGCTATGATCTTTCCTTTAAATTCAGAACTAATTTTGCTCCACATGTGTTATATGATAATCATTATCTTTTTTATATTTTAATTTACAATTTATAACTTGAAACCAGCAATGTCCCAGCTTTAAAATTGAGTCATGCATGCTTCTGATAGAATTCAGTATTATTATTATTATTATGCATAGATATTAGAGTATGTTATTATGGTATTTTACCCGCCCACGTAATCTGCAATTTTTAATTAATGCAAATTAATTTAATCATTATTGAAAACTATTCAGCACGAATCACGGAATCAGCAGCTGCTGCTTTTCTGATCAGTGATAATTCATTCTTCATTTCCAGTCTTAGTCCTCTCTGTGAAGTTTAAATAGCGATACCTAATGAGAAGAACTTTCTACTCGGGCCTACTGCTGGTGCTCTGGCTAGCCTCCAAGAGTAAGCTTCAAAACTAAAGAATTCCTCATTAATATCAGTACAATCCTGTCCCTTATTTTCTCTCCCTCTCTCATTCACACAGTTAAGGCTCAGTCACCGTGCAGCAGTGCCACTACTTGCAATGAGTGTTATGCCATACCTAACTGCGCCTGGTGTGCTGATAGAAACTTCTTTCCTACAAAAGTACTGACTGACATTATCATGCAATAATGATCAATAATGTCACGTATTTTTTGCTCTCTCTCTCAGATGAGACCAAGATGTGAAATCCGTGGTATCCTCACTTCATATTGTAACGTGGTTGAGGATATACAGAGTTCTACCACACTGGAAGAAGTATAATAATAATAATAATATTCACTCATATTAACAGTACATACTAATTGAGGCGGATTTACAATACTACGCTAGTCCTGAAATTACGTTAACGCAAAAGTTGAATCTGGTTCAACTCTAGTGTAAAGCATACGTGAAAAGGTCAAATTGCCCACGCTTTTGATTAAAAATTGACGGTACATTGGCCAAGCATCATATTGTGAATCCGCCTTGACAAATACAAGTGATTTTAATTATTTTTTAATGATTTAGAATGGATTGAATTCAGACAATCAGATATCAATAAGCAGTGCCAAAGTATATTTAAGAGCTGGTAATTAAATTGTTGATAAATGTACATGTACATGTACATACTTACTATGTATTTATTTTGTTCCTCCTCTCCTTCTGTTTCTCCAAAAGGTGAAACTCAATCATTAAGAGTGTCAGTTCGGCCAGTCCTGAACTTCCCCATTGATTTTTACTTTTTGCTTGATTCTTCGAGTTCTCTTGAAGACGATTTAGAAAACATAAGGAGAATCTCTCAAGATATTAGTAAATTTTGCAGTTAATGATTTGATAGCATTCAATTCATATTAACTCTGTTTCTCT